CCAAGCTCTTTTTCCAAGACCTGTAAATACCCCTTAAAGCTATGAGAGATACAGCATCAATTCTTCCAATTAATGGAAAGATTGCAAATCTCTCCCTATCTTGTCTGAGACTACAGAGCAGATTTACCAGCCTCAGAACACCAATGAAATTTCATATTACATGAAATAATGAAGTTTCTTTGGTCTGCAGGGGGAAAGCAAGCAAAAACATGACTGTATAATTTAAGGGGAAGAGCACTCATTCAAGAAGAGAGGGGAAAAAAAAGTGAATTCTAGTTCCTGCCCCAATGCCTACTTCAGATAAAAATATATGGACAGTCACTAGGGCAGGGCCTGGAAACCAAGAGTTTTAGGAAGGGTGGCAGCTGTTCCAGGAAGTATGTGTTCATGAATTCAGTAAAGCAGAGCATGAGTAAGCAGGCTAAAGTAGGCAAGACATCTTTAGCAGAGGAGATTATTATTAGTCTTTTAAGGAAGCTATTTCATGAACAGTGTGATAAGGCTGGAATGTCATGGCTATTCTGATTTGGATGACAAAAATCACTATATATCCAGACAGTAAGGTGAGTCAAGCCCTAATTCAGCAAGGATATTCTGATGTAATTTTTCCTACTGGTAATCAATTATATATTTGCATAAGCTGTTTTTTTGTTTTGTTTTTTTGCTTCCCACTAGCAACACCAGAAATGTCCTAACAAGCTCTGGGTTCAAAATTGGGTTGCTGTAAAACAGAACTTACCAATGCATGCCACATGGACCAGCACGAAGATGATGGATTGCGTGCATCTAAGTGAATTACAGATTGTGAATGGAAGTCTCTGTGTAATAGTGCTACTTCAGATTAAGGAAACTCAATTTGGTGTCACCAGAGTTTAAACTGGAGAAATGTTGCGTCATGACCAAGAATATATGCAACCTTTGGTCATGTGTCAAAGGCAACCAACATGTTGAGCAAACAGACAAATATACTCAATATAAGTCATGGTCAATCTATTTGACCATATCGTGTATGACTTACTTAAATACGGTCTGAACAAGAATAGCTTGAGTTTCACTAATTTTGCACAGATTATTACGCCTGATAGGTTCTTGAGATGCTGAAACCTTTTCCCCTTGCCCTTCCAGATCATTAGTAAAGAGAATATGCACAAATCACAGGTGAAAGAGTACTCTGTAGAGAGAGTCAAACCATTTCACCTATTTGAATATGGTCATGGGGAGCAGTTATTCAGGGAAGTGAGACAGCAGATGGCCACCAAAACAACCAGAGTAGTTCTCAGGGGTAATTGTATTTTCTGCTGAGTTGTAAACATCAGTCGTATGGGTATTTCCACACACCCACACTTTGATCCTGACCCCATGCACTTGGAGGTTAGCTGAATTTTCTGATAGGACCTCTCTTGAATTCAGGTTAGCAAACACTTATGTGTTTGCAGAATTAGTCTTTGTATCTGAACTGGACTCACCAAATCTCTTTTATTGATATTTCCAGTGCTTGCAGCTGATAGTCTTTTACCTTCATTACAAGAGAAAAGTTCTCTCCTGTCCCAATACCTCCAATCTGGTGGTCAGGTGGTTTATAGATATATTATACCAATAAGCAAATGTATTAATGGAAAAGTACTACTGCACTGGATATTCAGATTGAATAGAAAAAGTACAGAGAAAATCATCTAAGAGCAAAAACCAGAAGACTTGAGAATTTGTTTCAGCCTTTTCATTCAAACACTCAGGTATAAGACACTGCTATTCCTGACATAAGAAAGGGACAACATGAAAACATATTTATAAAATTTAGCAGTGAAAAGTGAATATACCATAAATATGTTAATGGAAAACAATTGTGCAAGTTGTTTAGAGTACCTGTACAAATGCACTGTAGCTAGGCCTGGACAGCTTAGGAAAAAAAGAAAACCACACAAGTACCCCTTCAATACTTTTAAAAGTAGTTTCCTCTCTTTATTCAGGAGCATCCTGGGAGTGGCTCCTCTGTGTAATGGCATTTTCAACTAGAGAGAGGGGCTAGCAAAAGTGCAGTTACTCTTTAGCTAGATGTCTTGCTATAGAGAAGAAATATGCCTATTCAGGGAACTGTAAGGCTGCCCTGATCATTTAATCAAAGGGAAAAGATATAACAGGAACCTTCCAAAGCTCTCAGTGATATGAGCATGCACTGAGCTTCTGCAGAGGGTCAGCAATGGTCACAGTGTTACCAAATCTCCTGTACTATGTACTAAGAAAGAATCCAGGATGAACAATTTCTGTTACATATTGGATTTTCCAGAGATGCATCAAAGAGAATTGCAAGGGCTGAGCACATACCCAAAAGAAGCATATTGGAATTTAATTCATGTTCTTCATGCCTACGCAGACCTGCCTTGACCTACATAAACATCATGGGGATGTGTATTCAGAAAGCTAAGCCTATGTTTTTATGTGACCAGGATTTTGTAAAATAATATGAGTGGTGGTACAGGGGTTCTGTCTTCTGCTCAAGTGTGAAACCAGAGTGTGTCCCAGTGGTGTTCCACAACTGGTGCTGAACTAAGAGATGTTGCAGCCGGAATTCATGAAAAAAAGCCTAAAAGCAAGGAGAGCCTGAAGTCTGCAATGCACTCATTTCTCAAAGTACTGTTTTTAACAGCAAGTACCCCTACCTAAATGGGATGGTGATAAGGGTCAAAACAATTGAACCCTTGAGACTCCTGTAGTGTTGATAAGGCCTTTTATTTTACTTTGTGAACATAGGATTTAAAAGTCTAGTCATTAGAGTCTTGAATTTCATTCAAAATTAGATACAGTAATGAGAGCTGAAAGCTGTAAATAACACAGGGTTGTTTATCTTGAACTTTGCAGACCCTAGTGATGAGTTAATCTCCTTGATTGTAAATAACCTTAATAATCATAGTACACAGGCACAACACTGAGCTCTCCCACCACATTTCTTTGAGACAATTCAGTGACTGCTGTGACAACGTGTTTTCAGACATTATTACCTGAAGGTGAGCTCAGCAGTGCAGTTATCTGATGTTTACTATGTAATCATCACTTTGTCCCTTTTATACCACACTTAATCCTGCCTGAGAATAAAATCAGTTGCACAAGAGGCACATACAGATGGTTGGCTTATAATCCAGCTGATTCAGAACCATATTGCTTTACACCAACCTTCTGCACCAACTCTGGCCAGCGCTTGTGCCATAGATATAATCCAGCTGATTCAGAACCATATTGTTTTACACCAACCTTCTGCACCAGCTCTGGCCAGCGCTTGTGCCATAGACGAGGAAGAAGTTACAGCAGGAACAAGCTGAGCTCACATCTATTTCCTGGTGGATTTGAGGTTTAACTTAAGTTCAAAACATGATCTTTCACCAGTCCTTTACATCTGACCGGATAGTTTGCTTAATAGAGAACACTCATTACAAATACAAAATACAATGTCTGGAAACAAGCACACCATGGCATAGTCTTACTCAAAATGCAAAATTCCTACAGTTCTGAAGAAACAGAAACTTTTTTTTCTGGAATCAGAATAAAAAGCGACGGTGGACCACTTATTCTTCCTGCCCCTCAAGGAATGGAGATGCAGAAAGGCCAGAGGGATCCCATTGCAGACAAGTTTCCCAGGGGACTAGGGAGTCCTGAGCATAAATCCAGGCACCTCAGGAGCCATGTGCCTGCTCCATTCATGGTGTTGCATGGTATCTGCATGGGAGGGCTGCAGTGTAACCACGACTGATAGTACTTCAGCTCTTGGTTCAAAGACAGTCTACCCCTGGAGGCATAAACAGGCAGGAAGCCAGGCAGACTTCTGGTTTTGTGAACATTTGAAACTGATTGACATTTTCCTATAAAATTTCCAGTTCACCAGCAAAGCCATAAACTATGGTTTAAAACAAAAATAAAAGTCTTCAGGGAGAAATAGTTTCTCTATCTTATATGAGAAGTCTTTGAACAAAGATTATTCTCCTCATCTTTAAAGGAGGGACTGCATGTGACCTGTCACGGTTTACTCTTGGACCTTCCTCAACAGGACCTCACTGCTCTCTACCTCTGCCCCTCTTCAACCTTCCCCAAAGCACCTGTCCTTCCTCAGTCTCATCACATATCAAGATCCATCACTCATTCATTTGCTCCAATTCCTCCTAAGTCTTCCTTCAAACAAACCTAATTCATCTATATGTAAATAATTGATCAAAAGTTCCTTTTATGTATCATATACTCTAGGTCTTGTGCTTTAAAAGAAAACTTCAGGCTCTAACAGTCAAAAGTTATCACACAGGGAAATCAATCATTCATGAAGCAAAAACACAAAAAATGCAAGTATCCAAAAATAAATTGGATTAAGAACTTGGAGATATTTAGGAGAATCACCCCCTGTTATTAGGAAAGATTTTTTTCATTCTTCATAATCCAATTATGCATTATTATCCAGAATGACTCAATAATATCTTAATAACTGCATCTTCACTGCCTTCCTGTATTTTTCTGCTTCTACCTTTTTGTTTCAAAAAAAATCTCTTCGTTCACCCTATAAAAATTAACCAGTCACAAGCAACTTTCTTCAGATTGATCACACTGTTTTGAGGCATTACCTCTGTCAATTCTTTACACTAGTACTTTTAAGCCAAATACTGAAATTACTCTATACTCAAGTTGCATCACTGCCTATTGACTAGTTCTACAGAGAAAGGAAAATGCAGTCATCATAAACAACCTCTTCACTCCATTGTCTGAGTAAATCAGCACCATTTTCCCTTCCTGGCTAGCATAAGGGCAAAACACCATACCTGTCTTGTTCCCACAAGAGCAAAAACAATGCTGTTGTTAATCATAGGTCAGAAAAATATAAGCATTCTGAGCAAGAATAACTGTTTATCAATGAAGTTTCAAAAATACACTTCACCCTTAAGTGTTTTTACCAAAAGTCGAGGATGAAAATAGGAAAGCAGTGGCAGTTTAGGAAAAAAAAATCAAAGACAGGGAAAATCACTTACTGTACTTGGTTCTGCAGAGGTATTCAACACAAACATCACCCTTCCTTGTCCAGCTGCCAAGTGCTAAAGCATGAAATGAGCAGCTGTTTCCTTCAAGCTGGGGTTGTGTGTCTTAACTAGTCACATGCCCCTCCTGATAAATCTCACTGCCGTGCCAGGAGGTTAGAATCTGAAGATCATTATTCCCCCTATTAGAAAATCCTTTTCATAACAGCAGCCTTTGCTAAAGCATTTGACTGGAACGTGGCGCTATGTGCCAAGTGCTAAAGCATGAAATGAGCAGCTGTTTCCTTCAAGCTGGGGTTGTGTGTCTTAACTAGTCACATGCCCCTCCTGATAAATCTCACTGCCGTGCCAGGAGGTTAGAATCTGAAGATCATTATTCCCCCTATTAGAAAATCCTTTTCATAACAGCAGCCTTTGCTAAAGCATTTGACTGGAACGTGGCGCTATGTGTTCCACAACTTCTGTTTTTCCTTTTTTTTAGAAAATCCTTTTCATAACAGCAGCCTTTGCTAAAGCATTTGACTGGAACGTGGCGCTATGTGTTCCACAACTTCTGTTTTTCTGTTCCTTTTTTTTTAATGACTAGCACCAAACAGTAGATAAGCCTTAATCAACAGTAGGGGCAGCACAAATGGAAAGTTAAACACATCCCTGTTGATCGCTTCAGGTTTGTTTCATTCCACTTAAATTTCAATCCTTGCTGTGTTTAAATTTAGGCACCATCAGGAACAGGGCAATTTAAAATACTGTGGCGTTCATAGCATCTTTAAGACCAGATCACTCCACAGATTGCATGAAGTATGAGAACAATCCCACTTTAAGGAATTAGTTGTACTTAAGGGGCAACCTCACAACTTTTCATGTTTGGACAGTAGAGTGATGAGTCCCTTATTAATACTGGAGATAATTTTAATTTTGGTGTCTAGCAATTTTATGGCATGGATTATGAGGCTGTGTTGTGCCAAGCATTGTATAGTCAGACCTTTCGAGGTGGGCAGTATCAGTCTAAACAGAAAGAGCAAAATAGGAAACAAATGCTTTCTGATCCCCATGTTTCCAGATGGAGGACAAATGAAGGAGAAACACTGAAGTCAAGAAGGGAACAGATTTTGATGGAATTTTCCAGGGTGATATGTAGTCATGCATTACTGAAATTCAACTGAGACTCTGCACCTAATTCCCTTTAGCTTGGTCACATGGTTAAAGATATTTAGGTATTTAAGGACAAAGGCATACAATCCATGGGATTTTGAGGGTGAGATGCAAAACACCATTTTCTGAATTTCTTAAATTCCCATTCCACTATGTGTGGATATACTGTGCTGAAGCACTGGCATTACTTTAAATTGGAAAGATTCACAGGGCACAGGCAATTGCCACATCTCAGTATAGGATATGGTAATGGTATTTTACTATTTGGTAAGCAATCCAGATCTTGCAAGACTGCACAGTCTCATTGGATTACAAAGGGCATTATAGGGCATTTTTCTGAAGTACAACCTGCACCAACAGTTAGTGCTGCAACTGAGATTTGAACAAATTCAAGGAATTGCTCAGAGCCGGCTGCATATCGTTAAAACTGTTAAAATATAATAGCATATCTAGCTGGCAGGTTCGTCAGCATCTGATGAAAGCCTGCAGTTCCCCGAAGATGAGTGCCGCAGCAACAAAAGGGTAACTCAGGTTGCTTCCTTTGACCTTTCCCAGCTCTTCCTATTATATAAACTGGCACAT